AAATGCTTCTCAAGCGAATTTTACCGATTTGATAGTTACCAGGTGTTACGTATTCCATATCCCCTGGTTATTATAACTGCTGAGCCTGAAGGTCGATGATCGTACGGTGATCGTATGGTATAAAAACATGAGAACATTCGTGTATTTGTTTTCTCTCCTCAAAGATCGTGCATCGGGTGTATAAGTTTTGGGCCGCAAAGATTTCTGAAAAAGTGGACAGATTTGCAAACGTGAGTGGTATGAATCCACACAAAGGGTTCTGACCGATTGGTCTGCATCGGAATGGTCCGGTAGATACCTACTGTGCGGCACTACAGGGCCCCGATAGACATTTTTGGAGTTGATGTTTGTCAGGACGCGCCCAGACAGGAAAAAAAGCACTTGTGCAGGAGTGACGCATCCCAAGGTCACAATCGGTACGACACATCCGGAAAGTAGGTGAGTTGGCGGCTCTCACCAAACACGGCTTAGCAGCATACGACCAGCGTAGTGGGCCTGAGATAGTTCACGACCGGAACACCACCATTGGCTGTACGGAACGAACAACTGAACGACCATATTTGACCATTTAGTCATCCTATGTATTTACACAGACGCTCTGTATGTTTTGTCCTGATAATAGAGCTGTGTCGCGAGTTCTCTGTCTTCTCCTTATCGCGTAGTCTGGCAGGCTCAGTGTAGGCGTAACCAATAGACGGCCACCCACGATACAACGGTGTTAGATTGTGCACTACATGCGCATGGGTCCAAGACAGATTTCATCAGAATTCACCGTTGGCAAGAACAGCATTTTTCACCCCATTTCAACAATTTCCACTTTAAAAGTTTTCATCAAGTCTCCTTCACGCCGAAAACACCCCCACTGATGGAGATCATGACTCTCAGGACAAAAATCAGGTAAACCCTGACAAGTTAGTTTTCCTCTTTTCCTCTCTCTCTCCTCTCTTTTCCCGTAAAGAGAGTTCGTGAGTGAAGGCACTATTTTGGTAAATATGCATATAAGTACAAACTCCAGAAGTCAGGGTATCAAACATGATAATTTTCCGCGAGGATACGAATAGTAAACGGAAATATTTGCCTTTGTTCACAGCAGGAAAGAAACAACTGTACGTTCTTTTTGGATTGTTCAGTGCAACTCGGATTTACTAAGCAGCAAGAGGTCTGAGAAATCTTCATGATTTTGCTATTGGTCACGTAGCGACAGTGTCTGATCAAGAATCAAAACTTTATACCGGGTTTTGAAGTATCACTGACCGTTACACAAGCAAAAACGAGTGGAGTAGTATATATAATAGTACGATAGTGGTTGAAAATAACTCAAAAAATGAATAAAATAAGGAAGATGCGGTAGATGTATTTAGGCGTTCAACCCTCAGGCATCTGGGACCCTTCACGTTGTAAGCGACTTAAATATTGTGAAGGCGATCTCATATGTCAATTTCTCGAAACATTTCGGAATGAATAATGACATGTCATTTTGATTTACGTTGGCAGATTGACGAAGGTTTCATCGCCAGGAAGGTTCGCTGGTTAGACTATCCATAAAGGGTCGGTTCTTTCAGCGGTTAGGAATGAAATAATGACCAATAACAGTGCGCTATTTGACGAGTTTGTCTGATAAGAGGCAAAAGATGTTGCTCTCGACCAATTTCAAGTGTCCACACACTGGTTGCTGGAGAAAATGTGGTGAGGACTTCCGAAAAATACACCAGAAACAGCTGGTGTTAACTATGCCGTCATATCCGACCTGCGCAGAATCAGATTCATTTTGATAGGACGAATGGAGCAGCTTATCTTATCATAATATTTATCCACTTCCGAGTAAACCGATTCTGTGTCGACAGCGTTTGATTTTGTTATGGTGCTTGGGGAACGTTTTTGTCATAAGCAAATAAATTTTCGCTGTTCTCGCTTAAAATTACGAATGCAAGGGTAAACGCAGTCAGCTATGTTGGGTTTTGACGATGGGCAAAATAACAATCCGAACTCTTATTCAACCCGAGGTCATATTGCTCTGCCATTGCGATTTCACTAATTAGTTTCTACCTCCTAGACACCGACGATTAGCACAGGTTATGAGGATAAGGAACAACTTCCCGGTAGTACCATAAACAAATTCTGATAGAGCAGAGAATGGAAGCCAGGTCAAACAGTATTTCTTCATATGGATATTATTGTGTGCACCCATAGGGCATAGCACAAAAAGAAGAAATAAGACGACAGTTTTTAAAACACGTTTTCCCTCATGACTCTATCAAAAGCGTGTAACTGCAAACGTGGTTCTTACTTCCTAACCTTAATGGAATCGCATTTTATCTACGCGTCACGATCAGACCATAGTGACTTCAAACGATGGTTTCCGACCACCGCAATAGAGCTGATTAATCGGTCAAACGTGTAGCTGGTGAAATGGATTAGGAATGCATTACGCGGGGGTAAATTGGATACATATTTGCGAAATATCTGCAGAAAGCCAAGATAAATCTGACTTGGTATCGTTTCTTGTGCTGAGTGCAAGGTGAGTTCTCTCCGTCATTTGGTTCGTATTCTTTAAACCAATGGATAATTTAGCGTATTTTCTATTTCGGATTTTCCATCCCTTCGAAACAAGTGAGGATATCTTAACTAAATGGTTATGTGAACAGAAAAGTGAACGGGGTTATATTGCTTTGGTTGACCTCCTATATTCTTTGTACGGTTAAAGCAATCCCATAGGCACTGCCTCTTTTCTTCCAAGTAAGTAATATTGTAGTTTTTCTAACGTGGCAATCCTACCGAAAAACAACAATCAGGGAAGTAACAATTTATTGCCAGCTTACATTTATCGGAAAAGGGCCATTTACAGTCGGCATCTTGGGGCCTGTCGACACCAACAGCTGACCGTATTTCCAAACGTCGTTACCGCTTTCGTCTAATTTTTAAATGACATTCTTCTCACGACGTTAAAAACCACTAATTTAGAGTGAACCAAAGAAGCAAATATTTCACTTTGTGTAATCGAAATCATTTTATTCTTTGATTTACGGAATACTGAGGCTAGCCAGGAAAACAGTTATCCAAATCTTGCTTGAAAATTAGTGAAACCAGTGTTCCACCGGTGCTCGTACATTAGTACGAATAGCACTCACTGCAGCTACCACAGACACAGTCAAATTTCTTGGATATAACGATAACAGTCTGCACTAGGTCGAGCAATGGAGCAGCAAATATGAATTAAAATACCGGAAGCTCTTTACTGCAGCCTACAATTTGGTCTGCACCGGACGCATACAAATACTGCTTTTTCAAACCCAACGCTATTTATTTATGAGTTCGGAAGGTGGAAGATGTTTACTCAAACATCTCATAGACGACTATGGTCATGCAATTCCAATCACGAAGAAGTAAACCCTTGGAAACCGTTTTCCACTTCTCTAATTTTTCCAATAAATGCTCCAACTCTTCTTCTTCTAGTTCAAGAGAGGAACCGGAAGACCACACTTATGTTCCTCTTTAAGCGCTGGGCATTCGACTACCAAGAAATGCAATAATTATAAGGTTACCAAAAGCTTTTCGAAAGCTCTTTGTCACCTTTGCTCTTTTTGGGTCCCACCACCTCTAGTTTCCATCATCTTATTGTTTTACTTGAGCGTCACACGGTACGCAATATGCAAACGTTTTCCGTTTGGAAAGTAAGCTGGTGTGGATGGGCGACGCATGTGCAATTCAAGCGAATTACTGTATTGTGGTCCTATTCAAAAGAGTACACTTCCTACTTCAGTTTGTACGGTATTTGATACGTCGAAGTGTAACTGTATAACTTTTTGTAAAAGGCTGCTTAATGGTTTTTAACAGACGACTACCGGTTTCCACTTTTTGAAGCATATTAGGTAGACATGATAGTGTGATGTCAATGTGTTGTAGTTCGAGATCCCGAATATGGGGCAACTCGCACATAAGGTGATCTTCGTGTGGCACATTCACTTGAAGAATGTCAGAAATGATAGATCGAGCTAGGATTCGCGCAATATCTTGTTCACACGAGCTCCACTTGCAGATGAATGTATCCCTCCAATTGTGTACTAATTGCTGTGCAAGTAGAACATAGGCCTGATGGGAACTCGGAGACTATGTGCAGTTGATGAGATTCAAGGACGGTGAAATAGGCAGTGGACTTCAGGCCATGCAATTATACTTCGATGTCTCGAATATCGTACACGACGCAGCCTTTGTGTACATTCGATTGGAACATAACATAAATCAGAAATTCCCGTTTACTTTAGTGCGAACTGTAGCTGAATACAGTTCAACAATAAATAGTGCACTTCTGTCTCCCTCTCGATGACCTACTTTCTCGGAACCTATGGTCTGATATCGGATCTCTAGAATTAATATGAACAACATGTAATCACCTTCTGTGTCCGGCTCTTGCTTTTCGTAGAACATTTTTGAACTGCTGCAAGTTGATGTGCCTTTGAAACACTTACGAAATAACTGCCGGCGCGAAGGGCTTCAAGATCAGTCTCACAGTGTCAGCATTCTGACCATTCAGCTTTTGTTTCTGCACTTAAGTCAGACATCATTCAGAGGCCCACAGTTGAATACACCTACGACGTCTCAGTGCCTTGCTTGTCCTCGATTTCTTATCTAAAATCGATTTTCCAGCCTGGCATGCCAGTAGGTAATTGTCACACTCTGTACTGCGAGCAATCTGCGCTAGTGTGTTCATTACCTGTGGTAACGTCTTCCAGCTGTCCCAAACAAGGCGACAACAAATGACCTTTTCTATTATGCACTACTGACCGTCGCTTTTTCTGCATACGGCTTCGCGATACAGGAGAATTTCGTCCGCGTCTTTGTTGCTTCCCCTGACCCTCGTATCAGGGGCGCTGAGCATTGAGCAGCACCACGTCATCGCGTACATTCACAACCGAACTCAGGCTTCGGCATGATATCGACCGATCGGCGCGAGCATATGGAATAGTGACACAGATTGGTTGCCACGGGTCTCGTGTTTGGGTTTACCCCAACACCTCATCTGAATTGGATTTTATCGTTGAATTGGTACTGGAAGGAGATGCATGAGTCACTAATGCGACCTTGTCATCTAACTGTGCCGTCACATGACAGTCAAGCCTAGCCTGAAAAGGGGCTGGTTGATTTGAGCGAGAGACATGACGGTGACACCTAAGGCTGGCTGTTGAATATATGACAAAGGAGTGAGCTTGACAACATAAGCCATAACCTTGATGTACACTGGAGAAAGTGCATCCTATGAGTTACACAGTGTAAGTTTCGGGTACTTCGGGCAAACTTCGTCAGCTGCAAAACGGACAGAATCGCATCATTGTTGGTGTCAGCATTGAAGCCGTTGACATTTCGTCTCCTTCTATTAAGTCATGCTTATGCAGTGACTTATAGAATAGGTTGAGAGTGAAGAATCTATATTTATATTCTTCTGTTTCTCGTTGATTAATCCTGTCCACTTCACAATCAATTGAGGTGGCTCATGCAGTGTGAGCATAAATTGCGAGGGATTCAGCAGGGCAACGTCCTGCATATCTTGGTACCTTTCTCTGGCATATTTTGGTTTGATCGAAAATTACTCGTTTCATCCCTTCTGAGGATCGTCAGCAGTTTGCATCACGCGAATCTCTGAGGCGCTCATAATCCATAAACTTTTGATTGATCACAATAACGCTTGACCACGTATAGCTGGACATGATTTAGCACTGCTCCCATTCGCCAGGCTATCAAGTGCAAACTGGCTGTGCATGAGGCTCGAAAGTTTGAAGACCTAAGGGAGTAGTGCTTTATCAATTTTCAGGAAATTATCGAATAATGTGTTCCTCAAAGAAACTGCAGTGCACCAACCGAAAGACGAGGTGACCTTTGTGAAGCACATTCATTTGAGGGAGACTAAACGAGAGATTCGGCTTGGGTTCAGCTGATTTCCCTGTTAACACTGAATCACTTTGTGAATGTGTGCATTTTACCCAACGTGTACAACTTAGTGTTCCAGCAGAACATATGGTTAATAGAAACCCGTGGATCTTCCTAATGAATCCAAAGAAGGGCAAACCCGGCAGTACGTTATTGGAGAGATTCCACATAAAAGGAGTGTGTTCCGACAAGTATAATTACTTCTTCAGACAGGATATGCTTCCACTTTAACCGGTATATCCTATCTAAGTGCGAGTAATCCACACTGCCGATGAAGGACTCATGTCTGAACGGTTCATCGCCCAGCTTCCATCTTTCTTCGGTTGCAGTCTGTTAGGACATTGGTGAGTCGGACCCGTTTGGTGATTCCTAACAAGGTTGGAACATATGTATATGGATTACCAGTTTTTCTGAATAGCTTAGTTTCTCCTGCGTAATAAGTAGCAGTTGCATCGGTTCCGAGTTGCCCGATGACCTGCATTAATGAGAACGCAGCCGGACACCTGAGCCGTGTGGGTGTCACTACCGTCAAGTTATCAGATCAGCATCCTCATGATTCAAGTAATTTTATCTGGTGACGTGCAGTTTCATAGTTCCATATTCTCTGTAGCAGAACTGAGCAGATATCTCCACAACATGCTCAATGATACACTTGCGCCAAGGTAGCTGTAAGCCTATCTGGCTGACAGATTTTGAAACGGAAGCTTTGACTTGACTTGTATTCTAGCGTGCCAAAGTGAACAAAAACACACCTGCGCCTGATGTACTGGGCTAGACCAAGTGTACTACATAACTGGCCACTTATGTGCACTGGCACGCAACGATCTTTCCGCCGTAAACCCATACGTGTCTACACATATCCACACCGATTCGCTACCGGAAGTCAAGGCCCAATTTCAATGCTCACCATGACAACGTTTCCTGTGACAAGGACTGGTAAAGTTTGTTTATGCCAGTGCTTACAAAATCGATGTGTTCGGGACAGGATTTTGCAAAGTAACAGCAAGCTTAATCCAAAACATCCATAAAACATCTGGTAGTCATTTCAAGAGCATGTGAGAATTCCACTCAGAGTATGTTTGCATGAATCAAAGAGGGCGTCTCCAAGTTTCGGACGAGAAACCTCGCATTCCGCAAAACCGGATGTTGTTCGTTGAAATTGGTTCTAACCTCACTGCTGTGAAATTTCTCACTGAGGGAGCTATATCATAGTGTTATGAAATTTAATATGTAAAATGCCATTCAAATCCGAGACAGACAGTATTCCCACGTCGCATGCCGGCCGCCCATCAAAAGCTGCCCTCAATCCTGGTGATCACTCCTTCACAAGTTATGATTTCCAATGAGTTTTTAAAGGCACTACAACCTTGGAAAACCACTAACATAACTCATATAGTTGAGCCAAAAATCGCAATAAATCCGCAACTGTGATCAGATGACCTTGATCTATCCTTCACTTCTGGTCACGTGAGACAGCCGCACACATCCAATGTATTTACCTTTATAGAATCGGCGCTAAAGTATATCTTGGTTGTTTGTAGGAATGCTCCAAATTTTGATTTGCAATGAGTGACTTTCTCCGGAAAACGTCCAAACTTACCGTTTTCACTCGGTAGATTATCAGAAGGGTCATACAACTTGGCACATTTTCATACGTTGTATGGATTTTAAACACCATATTCAATCCCTGGTATCGAAGGCATCTACTCTGTTTAGAAAGTTCGGTTAAGTTAGAATTTACCTATGAAATGTGAGATTCCTGATCACTGATAACGGAAAAGAAACCCGGACTTCATTCAGTAGATGGAAACTTGACAAAAGTATGTACATAATTCACTTTTGAGGTTCACGTGCTTTTGAGATCAGTTTGGTTTGTCCATGTACCTTGGTGCGTTCAGGTCCTATGTCCACTCTGGTCATGGGAATATTTCTCTCTCAGAGATCTAGTGTGTACCCTCAGTGTGTGAAATATAGTGTTGGTGACTTTTCAGCACCGATTTAAAACTACTTACACGTTTCCAAAACCGTTTTCATGTATGGTTTAATGATATTCTGAATTTCGATGGTAAAAATCAGCAGAAACCAGCCTCCCGCACCCTCCCATGATCAGCCAATGGAATCTCAGTGACTGCAGCCAGGTCTATCACATGGACCCGAGACCTATCTCCATAATGCTGAGTGCCATTCAGAGCGGCCTCTCTATGCTGATGTAGAACTACACTCAGGTTTCAGGACTCTTCCTTCTTTCGCGCACGTGGAAAAAACTGAGGTTTTTTGTCTGCTCACACTGGAATTAGGGGCTTGTTTTGAGCACATTGTCATAGGCCTTCAACCTCCAGGCCTGCATCAGGCTCAATCTGCGTTTTTCGGCCATGATCAACAGTGCACTGGCGGTCACAGTCGCGTCAGGGACAGACCTTCATGACTTGTTCTTCACTGTTGAACAGCGCGGCTGCTGCCATGACTACGGTGCTGCTGGTCCACCTTTTATTGTTCTTACACTCAAGATGCAACGAATAATCTGACTTACGTCGAGATGGCCTCGCAGCGGAATTTTTAGAGTTGTGGAAGTCTCTCTTGGCTGCCGTTCTTCTACCCGTTTTGTCTTTCTATGGTCGTTAAACTTAAATTAAGTGAGGTATGGATAAACAAGGTAAATCAGAAAAGCACTGTTGGGGTCCCAGCCATTAAGGTAACAAGGACTGTGTATGTAGTATCCGAGGTTATCTGGAGGTGGACCACATTCAGAGAGGATGTCTTCCATGGCTTCACTACCGGTTTTCGATGCTACAGAAACTTTATGAGAATGTTCTCCAACAAACTATTGAATCTTCGTTGATCGACCTCACAGCTCATTTCTCGCGTTGCTTCATGACAGATAGCGGTGTTACTCCATCAGCTCGGTAGTTTTCTTCCCACGTTGTATTGGGTGTTCCTTTGTCTATGTCTGCTAGTACAAGCCGGATTGAGTGGAATATTTATTCAACTTGAATTTTGTCTGATTATAAGTGACGTCATAATCTAACGAAATCTTAAAAAAACATTCCCAAAATCATCCTGAAAATACCTGGATTTAGCTGGTTCCAGGGTCTCCCGTCAACTATCACGTTTTGCAACGCATATCCTTCTCATCCCACAGACATTATCATCCTATGTAGCACTTGGGTATACGATTGCGAACCAGTGGGTCACCAAAAACTAGTTAGTCTTGCAAATTTTTTTTCCACCAACGTCCGACACACATTTCTTTGAAGACCGCGACTACCAAATGAAAATGCGAGGACAAGCAATCGAAACCTAATGAATGACACTGACGAATCAGTAACTAGGATTTGCTTGTCAGGTAGCATAATTATCTTTCTTTCAATCTTAGGTCATTCTTTACCTAAGGCTAACTGGGATTGTGAACAACTAAGAAGTCAAATGCTCGCTGAATTGCGTTCCGTGAAGGATATCGTTCATGAGCATCAAGTGGCCAATAAAACGCATGGCATGTCTGCATTGTTTATGGTTAAACAGATTCGTGCGTGATTCGGAAATTCAACTGTCCATCAGGGGATCAAATAATAAACCCTATTAGTGCACTGTTGATGATGGCCATAATACAAAGAACTAATAAAGGTCTTTAGTATAGTTGACAATGGTAGATGCCACACGTATAGAAATAAATACAATGCAAAATGGGAGCAAGTCAAAAGAGGAACTTACCGTCTGTGAGAGTCCCTTGGTGAAAGTCCGGAGGGCGGGAACGTGTTTTCTCCGCAGTGTGGCTGCTACACGTGTCCCATAATTGCCCGAGGACTTGTGGAGAGTGGCTGACTTTCTGTTCCCTGCGTGAGCGCGAGTCTGTGTGCTGACTGACTTTCCCTATATGTAGGTCCGTTTGCGTGCACGCGGGTGTCAGCACGTGCGTTGTTGCTACGCTCACTAGACGGTAGAGACAACCGATGCCCGATGAGTCACCTTAATGTGACGTGGTTTGTGAGTATGAAAAAAGACAAGTCTCGTGATCCAGTGAGCGACTGTGAGCTGAACGGTCAAGTTTGTGGGTGATTTGGTATCTACAACCCTCCAAACAGAAGGCGATGGCGATAGGAAGTATTTCATTTGAGATTCTACTTGATATTACATTCGGAAGGGTAAAATTTACGTAAGCGTGAGATGGGCAGCTAAAAAAACAAGAGAAAAATCCGCCAGTCCGACATAGACAGAATGCAGACTTCCACCTCAAGTAAACTAAGTTCGGAAAAGCAACTGATGAAAGAAGGTCACTGATCTCTGTCCTAAATGCGATTGCACCGGATGGTTTTCTTGCTCATTAGATAAGCCGACTCATTTGTTGTTAAAATTAGATGTCCATGTACATTTGGCTTAAAAGAAAACATATACCTGGAGACAGCCGAACTATTGGCTTTCCGTTCATTGCATGAATGCTCAACCGACTGGGTTACCAAAGCCGTATGCTGTCCATCACTCACGTGCACCTGAAGTTCACATGTAAGTCTTTACGCATCTACCTAATGCATTAGGTGATACCTGTGAGCTCTCGACTGACTTTCACAAGGGCCAAGATCTGATATTCTCTACATACGCGAACGGGCTTGACGTAAATTGTCCTAGTCTCCTCCGGGCCGTGTTTTTCGTCCAGATGATGTATCCTTAAACTTCACATTTCAAGATCGTTTACAAGTATTCGGACCATTTATAATTACAAATATGTTTTTGAGGATTTAGGCTGGCCGATTTATCAGCAAATGCTCCTCCATAAACGGGTGATTTGACATTTCACAGGCCACACTTATCAAATATTTCATTGTAAACATCTATTTTAGAGTCTCTTCAGCGCGCTTTAGTTCTTCACTGGGCTTCATTGTGTTTATAAGGGCTCTCTGGAAAATTTTTTCCTTGGTTATGTGATGTGCAATTTACTATAATCAGTTCACAGAGAATTTATCCAACCTTAGCGACAAAACCACAACGACTTAATATAAGCACAAGTGGAGCATACTCAGCACATCAAGCGATCTGTATATGCTCCTTTTTAACCGGAACAATAAACGACTAAATAATACCTTAAAACCAACTTCACATTCTATTCTGTGGTATTTTATATCCAAACAGTGTTCAGAAGCGCAGAGAGGTTTGGAGTTCGGTGCACAGTGAGCAATACTTTGAGGTAACTCATTAGTTCTGACCATGTGTAAACTAGAGTTAAATAACAAATGTATACCTTTCATGCTCCTGTTTTCAAGATTGTGACTATTCAGTCAGTTGTAGAGTACAAGCTGTGCTGCTTTCTTGCTATGGCCGGTTAGATAGGATAAAATGTAGAACAGCCTGTGTATCTCTGATGTCAATTATATCACACAGGCGGGGGGTCTTTGAAGGCGTGGTCATAAGATAGTGTGACAATTTAGATTGCGGACATCTCAATATTGCGTAGATTTCGTCCTACTTTCAAAGCCGATCAGTGGTAAAAATCCGAGAAATCCTACACAGCTTTTTCATCACGATTTGAAGTGTTTGACAGTTTGCATTTCACACAATTTTAGGACCATTCAAACCTGCACCATACATTTCACGGCTAAATGCTGTACCACTCGATCACGAGCGGGTGACCAGCGATGTGACAGAATCGTCACAGACAGAATTCAGCGTCACCATATATCAATCATTGCGGTTAAGTCACGTGATCTGGAGTGGACTGGAGGCGTCATGTGACTTTCGGGGTTCTGTCCCCTCTGAGAGGATTGCACATGCTTTGTCAGTAGTGAAAGAGATTTGATGTTTCATTGTAGACTTTGCTCTGTAGGTGCAGTAAATCTATATTGAAAATCCAAGAAGCACTCTGAAGCTTATTCATCGTTGTTGAGACTCACTGTCAGTGCCCATCTCAAGAAATATCCAAGAAGCTTTAAAGACGCAGCCATTCTCGTACCCTTCTGAGGCCAGTCTTATTGAACCTCATTTTCCGACATTTAGCATCACTGGCAGCACGAAAAAGAATCGGTAGACGACTTTAAATAACTTTCTTGAAAAATACATAGCCGTGGTAGTGAAGGTTTTGTGCAGTATATTTACGGAGAGAGAAAAGAAAGGAAGGAAATGCACGGGTCAGAATTTGGGGCAATTCGCCTCCATTGAATTCCATTCCTTAAAGTAAACCAAAAGTAAGCGAAATTTGCGATCATTCAGAAACCTATGATTGCCATGTACACGTCCTAATGACTTTGGCTATGTTCTTCACATTCCTGGCGTATTGAATTTCTCAAAGTGATGACAATTTCGTTCCGTCACCGCTCGAGCACATATGACAAATCTGGAGTCCGTGTAGCCTGTGGGTTTGCTCTTTTGTATGGGGCGTAAGATAATTGTGAAGAGGGCATAAGCGTTCCTGGTTTAATATCAATTGGCGGAGGTAAATTACGGTAGGGATTTGGTCGCATTCCGTAAAATGCTTTTGGTGCTCCAGATTCCGTTATGACGGGTTTCTGGGTAGGGCTGAATCCGCTAGCAATACTGGTGGCACCAGAAGGAAACACAGTAAAATTGTTCATTGGAGAATCTGTATATGCTAGGTTGTATTCCGGAGGTTTGAGTGGAGGTCTTTCGTTTGGCAGTATCAATGGCTTTGTCGGAGGTGTTCCGTCTTCGTCATTCGATTCATGCAAATTGTGGCTCGTCGATTTTTCTGGGTGTGGGAAAAGTGTGAAAATGTAAAATTCTTTCACATTCCAAGAAAATAAACCCAGCAAACTTTAACACCAAGCCGCATAACATATTAGGAAAATCGTTTCGTGGTTTTAAAAGACAGCACTGAGATTCAAACAGTACTTTGGGCAGAAAAACAACACTAACGGCCGGTACTTTTCATTTCAAAAACGATCCGAATCACCATTGCAGCAGCAAAGGGTTGGACGTCAATTTTTGTAGCTCATCATAGAACCGAATCTCATTATTGGGAAGCCCAAACTCAAACAATTCCATGTATGAAGCGACCACTTCCTTGACAAGAATGCATGATTTCAAATTTCACTTGGTTCACAGGTCCCTTGCTTCAGCTAAGTTCACTTCTCCAACCATGTAAAAAGGCACATACGTTAAAGCTACTGCAGTTCGGTTCGCCGAATCACGGAGAATGTCCAGTGGGGAGTCATAAATAGGGACAATCGTCTTGCGATCTCTACGAAGCCTAATCATCTAGTTTCCCTCCGAATAGAGAGTTCGGAACTGTTGCACATTCAGGATGGTAGACTTTTTGTGCATGTGCCACTAGCTACGAGATTAGGACATGTCCGTTTGGGTGTCATGTTTCAGAATCCGTATTGCCGAAAATGACAGTTACCAACACGAATGAGTTTGCTAATCACAGCTTCCACACCTGGTTTTTATGTCACGGACTGATAAGTTTGGTGCAACCGATATATCACTGAACGAAAGGATTATGTGAGTTAGTTTGTTCTTTTACACACAAAGCAAATTATTTACCTTACTTCACTAGACCTAATATTTTGCGTAGAACTGAATCCAAAGTTTTCACCAATTTGACTGGGTCATTTTCTTTGACTGGCCGCCTTGCCTAACACTCTAGGGCGATTACTTTTGCAGGATTGTGGTAATACACCGAAACTGTAAATTAAATCGAGGGCTTGGTTTTATACTAGTGAGATACGTCATACAGTATTTCTAAAGCATTATGGATATCAAATTTCGAAGATGAGATCACCATGGCAACTGCAGCTGCCCTCCAGGGTAGCGGAGAATCGGTACAACTAGTTAGACTACGGACCCTGTCAGTTCTGACCAGCATTTCAGTTGGTCACGGCCAACTAGGTTTGTTTTTTCCAATAGGGGAAATGAACCATCTTGGTTGTTATGTTTAAATAATTGAGGAATTTTCACACTCAGACTTGACCAAACTATACAAAAAATAAGCAGGATAGGAAGTGCAACCGCTATGTAACACTGCCTGATGAGAGCGTCTGTCGAACTGAGTGCAGTCCTCTAAAGGAGAGCAATGTTCATCAACCAAGACAACTGGTTCTGTGAATTTGGTGTATTCCAAATAGATGAAAACTGACTAAGCAAGATCCAATTTTTTAGAAGTTTCAAGAAGATACCAAATAGGCACACAGATTTTAACAGATGAGCACTCGGGTGATGTAAGAGTTGCAAAGTATAATATGTTCAAAAGCTTAAAGCTTAACCGTCAGTCGAGTCAAATTTTCTTGTCTGAGGGCATGCTGTATAACAGGGGAACCCGGTAGGTTCCATACTCCCTACATATTTAGTATCCGACGGATGAGCAGCGTCGTTAGTCAAATTGTTAGTTTACATCCAATAGGAGGTTAAACTCACGTCGTTTTACTGTGGTGGCTATGTCAGTCCGACTCTTTCCGGCCTCTTGTTCCCCCAACTGGGTATCATTATTTTTATGATGATTGTCACTGCCCAGTTTCAACATTCGTCCCGTTTCCGGATTGACACACTCAAGTGGAACTTTCATTTGAGTATCTTTCGTCTGATGAGTAGACTGACCGCGTTTTCGGTACCAAACGAAGGAGAGTACTCCCAGCAAAAGTAGAATGACACCTCCGCATATGGGTAGCAACGTACCCAGAAGCAAGTTGCGTTGTTTCATTTGGGCATCTAGCGGTCCGTAGCTAGTGCTCTGTTTCGAATCCAAATCCGTTACTTTATATTGATCTGGAAACGATGATGGGTAGGTGGCTGTTCCTATCACCGGTTCGGGAATCAATATGGGTATTCGACCTGAGAACAGAAATCAAACAGAGTTGGTTCATCATTTGGCTGAATACATGAATGGCCTTAAGAGCTACATTTTGGATTGTTTTTAGATGAAAGTGCTACATGGACAATTTGGTGGTTGATATGGTGACAGGTAGGAAATACAACCGCCATTCAGCATCAACAGCACTAAAGAAACTACCAAAAAAAAACGGCAAAGTGGACTCAATGTTCAATAAGTTGAACAAGTTTTTGTTTTATAGCTCACCGATAATAAAAAATGTATCAGTCTTATGTAGCGTACTGTGATATATGTGGCACACACCAGTGCAATAAGATATTTAGCACTGAAGTCAGTATCCGAGTTGTCGTGTTTCATGAAAGTTCTGTGATGAATAAACCACGCTTGTCCGTCCAACCATCCGCCTGGCAGACACAGAACAGTGTGCGTTTTTCGAGCAATTTTTCGTTAAGGCGATTGAGTTGGAGGGTCAGAAGTCCAAGCTATCAGTTAGGGCGTCCAGACGTTAGACAGGAAATATTATGTATATCAGGAGATTCTGATCTATCCATACCGAATCAGATGAGGCCCTATCCACTTGAACGTATCAACTACTGAGCGCTCAGAAACTGGTCGCGAGGTATTCCAACGGACATCAGCATTCATTTTCAGAGGACCAGATTTGTTCGGGTCCGTATAAGGGTTGTCCGCAGAGATGTTCCATGATTATTCCGCATAATAGGCTAGAAAACTTTGTAACTCCCAACCATCGTGTTTAGCTCTGCCCCAATCACATCAGACAACTTTTATACCGCATTCCCATTTTTGATCGCTGCCTGGCCTAAATCCAACCTGCCACTGGGTCGTAGCTGCGAAAATTCATTGTCGCATCTTAGCTTGGCGTCGTCTTTTGAAAATGTACTTCAAAAATTTCGTTTACAATCCCATGGATTGATACTTTCGTATATGATTTTTCAATATTGCTTTTCAGTTTCGGTTGTAAACGTGACATCTAGGATCTAGTGCTAGAATCCACATACATAGTAGTGTATTGAGTGTGTTTTAAGCCACGCCTTTTACCAAAGATAACTTTCTTTGGTTGGTCGCTCAGATTATCCGAGTTTCTGAATAACGACTTTGCTGGTTACCATGTATCCTGCATTTATCTGATCCTTTTTATTTGTATGTTCTCTTTTCCAGAGTTTGTCGTGCAATTTCCAAAAATGAGCCACCCTAAATTTTCATCGGAATTCACAGCAGCTGATTTTTCGAAGCTATCCAACATAAGCCAACACGTTTTGTACGATTGAAGTTGAAATCTCCAAGCTAGATATTCAGGAAATTGAACACAAATTTTCCAAGTGATCAAGCACACATTTTTGGACGTTACAAGTGGGATTAATCCCTGTAATAGCAAGAGAGCCAGTTCACACAAGTGCACATGAACAACCAGTTGTTTATCGGAAAAGTTGTTTATGTAACTGTGTAGATACAGATGGCAAGGAAATACTTACTTCAACTTCGAAGGGATTAATGTTGTTACCGTTCGCTGTGATGTATTAGTTGGCCCTCAATGCCTTTAGGAATGAACAGCACATTGTTATTACATGAAAGTTGCCCGTTTGTTCATAGATTGCTGGATATATAACAAGGTAGTGGGATTAAGACCTCAAAGGTGTTAACTATAGCTTACCCGATGAGTCAGAGACTCAAAAGAAGAGCTGGTCTCCTTTGACAAGGTTCCATCCTCTCAGGCCAGTGAAAGAGTTATTACAGTTCCTAGCCTTTACTCATCAATGTATAGAAAGTAGGTGCGCTCTAATGAATGAAGATGCTTCTATAATGCGACCCAATTAAGGCCGGCTCAACACGACATTATCGGGTAGACGTGAGCTATATATCTTGTTGAGTAACAACCACAAATATGTGGTGAATGGAACCAGGAAGGAACAAACACAGATCTAGCAGATATCAACAAAAGATCAGTACACTATTCGCAGCTTGGTTACAAAGTAACACACTAGTCTTAGAGTTGCTGAAAATTCTTCGACAGTCCACTACCGGTTTTGCCCTTCTTGGGGCAAAATAAATAGGCGCATTATTGAAGTTTCCATAAACCCCATATTCTGCTTGAACCTAAATTGCACGAAATTAGCAAAGCGCATTCATTTGCAAACAAGTTTGGTTTTACAATAGACAACTGGAACTCAGGTGAAACTCGTTTATGATCTTTCTAAGCAACTGAATGTGCTTCACCAAGCCGCCTCAAGTCTCATTTCCTACAATACCCGAGATATCGCGATACATGTATAGACGTAACACTGTTTCTAAGGTTGCCAAAAATTCTTCGACAGCCCACGATCGGTTTTGCCTTTCTTAGGGCTCATCCAAAAGACACAGTCCCCGAGTTTCCGTTAACCTTAAAATCATTATAAAGGGGAGATTGAGCTGGGTTCCAGGTGAGTCTCTCGCAAAACCAAATCAGTTTACGAATTATTGTATTGCGGGATACGTTTATGTTTTGCATCATCAGGCATGTTATCCGTTTTCTTGTCCAACAACGAAAAGATATATTTGTAATGTACTACTCATAAGGTTGCTGGTTTCAAGTAGAACATAAGGTCGACTGAAACCCGGGGACTGCGCCTACCTAATGAGTCCCAAAAAGGGCGAAACTGGTTGTGAGCTGTCGACGGATTTTCAACAACTTCATGACTAGTACATTACAAATATATACACGTATCGCGATATCTCGAATATCGTAGCGACTGAAGCATAAAGAGGCCTGGTGCAGCACATTCATTTGCCTGGAAACATCGCAAACGAGTGGTTCAGCTGGGTTCCAAGTGAGTCTCTCGAAAAACCTAATTAGTTTGCAAATGAGTGTATATTAGCTAACGATAAGATAATTATGAGAAGGCGACCAAGCATTGACTCGACAGATGGTCTGTGAAAGAGTCGATCCTGATGGGCCTTAATTGATAAGGACAGATGTATTTGAGTCGTGGACACACATTTAACATCGCCGGTATTTGAAGGATCAGTAAATAAGGTATATTACAAGGGGATTTTGAATGGTCGCTTTTTTGTTCATGGACTAACTTATTAGCCTTTGCTTCGTCATAGTAGAAACCTACAAGCATTGTTGATGAAGCAGTTCTCCCAGACAACTCAGTTTGCTGCACCGATGCTTTTGTGGTCAGTAGCATTTTTCACTCACTTTTCAGGAAAAATCCTAACGCAGTCAGTTAGAGAAATAGATTTTTTCTTGAATTACTGTGTTGGTCCGACGACCAAGACTATTTGAGACTAAATTAGGTTTTTCCGGACGCGAATTGTCTAGCGGACTTTCCCCACATAGGCATTGTTTTTTCCCGAACAAACTAAATAAAGTTAAATGCTTTCGAAACTGTGAACGGAAATTTAATGACATATGGGAAGCGCTTGGTTCTGAAGATACGTGGGGCCATGTTTCCGCTTCACACAACCGAACGGATCAAAAATTGTGATGAAAAGAATGAAGAAGAGGGAATCACGTGACTGGGTTCCAAAACCCAAAATAATCTCTTTGATTTTGTTCAATAAAATGGAATTTTGCTATTCCCATAGACTGTAATGACTTATTTCTGCTTGACAGGCAATTAGAATTGCAGCGCTTCAGTGTACCTGATACTGAGTTATCTTTTTCCGCACAGCATTGTCTCTAGAACATGATACAACTGGACGAAGAATCAAACGAATAACAGTATTGACCACCTCAGTAGAGTTATACACACCAAGAGTTGTTCGCATTGGTGTTTATTCAGTAGGGTGACAATGAACCCATTTACTTGGTGGAACACATCACTCACGAGGCCGCTGAAAACTGCCCGACAGCCTGGAGCTTATCAGGTAGACAAGGTCAACTAGTATGTTCTAACTTAACCCAAATCGTACGCAGGTGACGAAGGGCACCCATCTGAAAATTAGGTTAGTGTTATCGGGATGCTCAAGTAAATCACAGTGTGTGCTTTTCAACTTAATTTTCAGACGAGGTATTTTGTCAATTGCGTAAAATTCGGTGCTCATGCGATGGAAACTCAAGGACTGTGCCTACCTGATGAACTCGAAAATGGACGAAACTAGTCGTTTGCTATCTAGGAGCTTTCAGTAACCTTATGGGTATTTCGAATATCGTATCAAGTGAAACGTGAGGCAGTCTTTGTACATTATTTTCAATCAAAGAATATCATAAAGGGGGGTCCGATTGGAATTAAGTCAGCCATCTCAGTAACATTGAGTTTCTACGCAATGAACGCAAATTTCATTTCGTAAGAGAAATTAAATTTCGACTGTGGTTTACGGAAAGGCTCAGGTGTTTTATTTTACCAAACAATAATACGAGATATTTTCATAAAGGAAACTACTCACAAGGTTGCTGAAAACTCTTCGACAGCCCACGACCGGTTTCGCCCATCTTGGGGCTCATCAGGCAGGCGCAGTCCCCGAGTTTTCGTCAACCTTATGATCTACTTGAACCCAAATTGCACCGTTTTCGAGAAATACACTCATTTGCAAACCAATTTGGTTTTCACGGGAGACTCTATTGAATCTCTCGTTTATGATGTCCTCCAGCCGAATATGCTGCACACAGGCCGCCTCAGTTGGCATGAGTACATTATAAACGAGAGATTCAAATGAGTTTCCCTTGAAAACCAAATTGATTTGTAAATGAGTGTATTTCTCGAATAATACATTATTTCAGAGAGGCTTGGTGAACAATCGATGAATTTACTGCTGAGCAACTTTTCGATTTGACAGAAAACTTCATCAGGCTAAGTATGTGAGCAGGTTAATGAGGTCTTCAGCCAGTGGGGATTTCACATGACTAGCAAACTTGAGCAGTGTTGGGTGTCGTCCTGAAGTTCCTGCTTGTTGGTTAGCAGGAATTGATTGGATCTTACTCTATTTGAATTTTGTACTTTTAAACCGTTTTGATGATCAGTGCACACCGCTCCGTGTCATCTCGACTGATCTTAAACTGCTCTATACACACTTGCCAGTTCCACGCCCTCTATTGTATTTGCAGCGAAAGGCTTGGCGATTCCCACCGCCTCAGCTACCAGTCGCGGTGGTATGAATCTGTGCCCATCTCAGAATATCCACATTTCCAAAATCTATCCTGTGCCCAGTGTCTAGTGCATGTCCTGCCATCGCCGAATCATTGAACATCGCGTGATATTCAGCTACGTTTCTCGGTGGTCTATAACGGATCGACGATACTCACCGATTCTGGTTTGCAGTTTTTTGGCTGTCTGACCTATATAAACCTTCGTACAATCGTTACATTTTAACTGGCATACACAGTTCCTAGTCCTGCCAAACGGAACGCGACCTTTTAACTGCACCACCCCCTAGCGCAAAGTCTCCCCATTCTGGAATGCTACTACAATGTTAGCCGTATTCATTATACTTCTAATGACTTCAGATGTCCTTGTTTTGTATGGAATGACTGCTGTTTCGATCCACTCCTTGTTGGGCCTTAGTGTTGGCACGAATAACGTCTCAGTTGCCGCCTAATTAAACCTGAGCATCCGCTAGCTTGAAGTTGCATCTTACCGAAATGATACGAGGCGATGTGCAGTTATCAGCAAAAGTACAAAATACAAGCAGAGTAAGAACTTCACAGCTAGTAAGTAAATCTTTGCGGATGTTTTAAATTACACGAACGCTTAGCCAGCCATGAGTACCGGAGCCTACACGCACGTACGCATTCCACGGCTTAGAATAGAAATCCCGAATACTGGGCATTACAACACAAAGTATGATTTTTTTCGGAGATTCTTACACTCTACTGTAGATCGCGTTTTCAAATGCTGTTTGTCTGGGTTATCAGCTTCGGTAAGATCAGTGGATAATCAACTAGACTTCTTCCTAGCGTACAGTTTGTGACAAAAAATATATTTGCCAATTTCATGTCTTGAGGAGGGCGAACGCATTGCCCTTCTAAAAAGTACTGCGTGGGGACGGAGTGGAATATTATTCATTTGAAGTAGTCAAGAAAGACGCTAACACATTAACTCTATATTTAAATCCTTTCTGATTAGCTGCAAACTGAGTACATACAATGGGTTGGTCACGTAGCCAATGTGCGCAAATTTAATATAGGAGAAAAGTAGGCATGGAAACTAGCAGAAAACGTCTGGATTTGTGCACAACCCAACTAAACTGCGGATTTACTGGTCTATGGGGCGTGGATAGGAGTACTTTGAGTCTAACTAAATCGTCAACTATGTAACATGAGAGTAGACAGTTTGATTCAAGAGCTTGTATAGAACGTTCACTGAGACATTCGTTTGCGTGATTGCCATTTCCATGACTTTAGGGCAAGGCTGGCCGAAGACAGTTAAATGCAGCCTGAGTTAGTCGGAAATAGAATGCTCATTTACATAGGCTGAAACTTTTCACGTAGTTTAAAAAGTTTTCACTGAATGGCTTGAACGAAAAATCACTTTTTTTCGCATCCTTTACAGAGATATGAATGTAGTGGAGCTAAACGGTATCTTTTCCCGACATTCTTACTTTGAAGTTTTGCACATGGTCCCAATCTTTCCATTTGCACTTCTTTCAGGATTCCCACTCCGGATGACTTCAGATGTGCTGCCAATTCTGGCAGTGGCTGCAACCCGAAACCCGTATCACCAAGCAGCCTTCTTTCCAGATGAATGAGGTCTCTTTCCGGGCAACCGTGACTTGTTCGAGGAGATCTTTGAATCCATTGCGCCGCCACTTTATTTTTCATGCCTGGCCACAAACTGACATATCGCTTTCTACGATTGCTTGACATTGCTGACCATTTTTGGCTCTGTTTCATCCATTTATCCCAGTGCTGCTGTTGCTCTAGTGAAGCAATCTGGTCATTGACGGTTCCCACATCATGACTCTTCATGAGCAATGACTTTTGGGCCCAGATTACTGTAAACCCATGAGCTGAAATGCACGGGAAATGCTTGAAGCTTCAAAGTGAATCTAAAACACATTATTTTCATACATTTAATTGTTTCAAGCAAGTTAATGCGGAAAAATAGTTTGGAAATTTACTATTCATAGGATAAATAGCATTCAAAGTGATCAATAGAATAAGAGTACATAGTCAAGATAACAGAGTTGGGACTATCAGTTGCATAATTGGGCAGCACTAAAAACTGATATAGTCAGATTTAGCGGAAGACGTGCAAAATCTGAGGGCACAAATGATGCACAGATCAAAAAGCCACTGTGAAGATAAATGCTCATGTCCTCATTGAAGCCTTTCTTTCTTCTAGTGATTATTGTGAGGCGAAAATGTCAGGATTTGAGGAATGCACCCAAAAAAGAAAGAATACATAAACTCTCAAACCATTTCCATTTCCATAAGATACTCAGTATCGTGAGTTCGGGTCCAGTTCTCATTATTCTTTGTTCTTGTGTGTCCACTTGATAAACCCCAACATGTACGAAAGCATTTGTATGCGGGATTCCAGCAAACTATGGGCTCAAGGATGGCGATTATGGTGCTCTCCATGAGGATCAAGAGCTATCCAGCTACGGCCCTCCGGCCTTCACCAGCAGATACACTGAATATTTCATCTTTTGGTTAGACTAACTTCACGTATACACATAAACCATGGCCACCTACCTTGATAGTTGAAGGTGAGTAGAAGAACATCCATGTTATTGGCACACGAGGGATTTCCCGAACATTGTGGCCTTAAAAAAGTGTCCAGAGCAGCAACTAGGCGCCAGCGGTCTGACAGGCTATGCCCACCAGCCCATGGTTTACCAGATTCCGCCCCAAATCGCATGATGACCCGATGATTGTACACGCTTGGAAGTTGTGGGTTTGACCCGGCCACGTGGACAGAGAAAGTGACATGCTCTTGTTCCACGCGAGAATCAGCAGCAATCCTGATGGTATAAGTGAAACGGTTTTGAAATTCCAAGTCAGAACCTATTATTTGGCTAGAAATGTGAGTCAATAACCAACCCAAAGAATGTCTACTAATTTGACTCCAAATATCATACAAATTCCAATCGACCTTGTTAATCTGATGTTCCTATTTTCATGCACATCAGGTCATCCTGAATTTCTGTCGACATTCATTGGTATCTTACTCAAAGGTGCGCTAATTGTGTGCTGAAGTAATTGGACTGATTTCATGACGTCTACAGGTACAGGTTGTACCAAGGCTGTTAAGCTGTCCTAGCATTTGAGCGAAGCCGACAGTGGAGGGAGGAACCTGAAGCGTTGGACCATGACCTGCTTTCGGCTTGGAAACTTATTGCCCCGGCCTGAAGCTTCTATGTATATATCTTCTCTGAGTTTGCTTCCAACACTTTGAAAACGTTTGGACCACAGATTTCTAGACTTATTTACAAGTAATTAAATGGTGTGATAAGCCCATCAGGAGCGAAATCATTAAGCAACTGGTACGTGATTGAAGCATCTCAAACGCATATTTCTTCACAGCCACAACAAAGCAATTTTAGGGTTAAAATATGTGAATGTGGTTGGGAAAGATGAGGGTATAAAAGCCTCTCCAACTTTCTCCACGTCAGCAACGAAAAACACCCTGCTGACCTCAAGGCTTTCTGGGGCACATTTGTCCTTTTATGGTCCCTAATAATCAGGGTTACAACGTAAATCAATAGATCAACCACGTTCAAATATAACGTAACATCAACAAGAGGATGAGAGTGTACAGTGTTCAATAGTTGGTTGTTAATCAAGTGGCTGTACCTGTTTACCAAGCTTTGCAGTCTATAGTTTCATTTGGTTCAGTAGGCAATACAAATGCTTCGGAACGTGTATCTTTCCTCGTTACTAGATCTCCTCAGGTTGACATTTTCTGAAAGATGACAACACATTCCTGCTTTGTTGCTATGATGAGTAAANTCCTCGTTACTAGATCTCCTCAGGTTGACATTTTCTGAAAGATGACAACAAATTCCTGCTTTGTTGCTATGATGAGTAAAACAGACGTGATGATGGTTATCCCGATGGAGAGATACTGACAATGATGTAGAAGGTTCTATCAGTCATCCCGACAATGCGTTTCAAGCCATAGTAGATGTTCCCCCATCAGACTTGACACGATACTATGCGCTAACTTCAGCCTGACGGCTGACTCCATTTTATTCACACCATTGGTGTCATTACTAAAGCATTGTTTAGCAAGAGCACCACAGTGATTCTCCTGTGTATATCAGTGCATTTTTTTTGTATCAATACGACTGCAAACGTAGTTTTGTGGTTCCCTGGTAATTCAAAACACGTGCAGCAGATGACTGGTTTTGATAGCAAGCACTGAGTGAATGATTGGGATTGCGGCATTTCCTTGCTTTTGGGCTAACATTACAAAGAGGATAGAGACTTTGCGCGTAAACTTATTCTATTTTCTGCTTGTTCTTCCATTCACTCTGACGATATATGAACTTTTATCTGATTTTCGCTTGCGCACATACAAGATATTTGCGAACTTTTGATTGACGTTGCCGTTCGGTTAACTCAACTAAGAAACATTAATTTGGTCACCGCAGAAGAGATGGGTAAACCAAAATGATGTTGACGACGGAGGTGGAGTGAACAGAGTAGTTAGTTAGTACAATTTTTCCAAAGATATTTTACAAGCAAACCCATGTGGAACAGAACAAAAGGACAACTGAGATCGTCTGCGGCTTGGACAGATGATAGTGGGGTCGGTACTGATAGCGTATTTGACCAAGTCATTCACCCTAATTTGGATTCATGAAGAAGGCGTGAAATGAGGAGAAGTTAATAGTTTTGACTGTATTTCAAGCGACACGTAGGCACTTATTTGCACACGATGTAACAAGGGTCTCTCGAGAATCTCATTAAATTATGTAAGTCATTTTTCGACTCCTGAAATTTAATTCCCAGACAGTGTGGTTAGTTTTTATGTACAAAAGTGTGGACATAAACCCAGAACCCAAAAAACAGTCATCCTGGGCTAATTCAACCGTAATGCTCCAGTAGGCACATATCAGAAGTCAGATCCAATCTCGATTATCCTGAACCCGGCACCATTTTTGTTGTCTTGAAATGTGCGGTTTCACGACGTGATGAAGATGGCCATTGCCGAACGCACCTCCAGCGGTTATTTGTTCGGAATAGAACTTGACGGGTGAAGGATCTTTCCGGTTCCTTCTGGCGTAACGGTGGTACAAGTGATGGGGAGGTACGCGAGTAGGTAGTATTGTTCGTAGAATTTCGCTTTGAGTCTTTTGAAAAGGGGAGATCTGTTGCGGAATTCGTGGAGTCACTTTATAACATTTGCTTGGATTTGACCGAAGAATGACTGGAGTCAATGAATCTCCAGGAAAGTTCAAGAAGACGCATTCGGGAGAAGAAGGGTGTCCAGTTTTTGTAAATAAGATGCAAATTGGAGTTTTGCTTCCCTGTAACCGGTCAGTTGGCATTTCCTAATAAATAACTCCGCAGCGAAGGCCTTCTTCCTTTCACTGGTGTTAGTTTGCCTTCAAAAACGGCTCTACACTACACGATAACTGGAAGTAGTCCTTAACGTAGCTTTTTTATGCAAACTTCCCATAAATGAGTTGTTAGGACAAACAGTATACCCACGGCAGCCGTCCAGTTGGTAGTCGGTCGGGTATCTGCTACCACGGGAGCTCGCCAGCACGTTCAGCGGCACCTTTGAAATGAGATGTCTGCTTCCCATTTTCGTGTAATCCCTCTGTATTCAGACAACGGCTCAAAGATCTGTACATGTGCCCATCAGGTTGCCTGGCGTAGCTGGGCTCTTACCATGTTTTGGAAGACAGAAGGGTTGTTTGGTAAAACAACGTATGGAAGCGATTCATATCTCGGTGTGGAAGCAGCCTGTTGACGCAGGTCATCAAGTTCATATTCCACCAAATTAGAGTGCACATTTCAAGGCTAATCTAAGGTTTACCAGAATGGTCACATCTAACACTGAATGAACTGCAACCATTTGTATTATCGGCTGTGACTTCACAGACGTTTAATTTAACCGATAAACTTACCGTGACCCAGATTTGACTGGTTCGATCAACCATGTGGCACGACAAGGCAAGTGGGCCAATCCTAGCTAACCTGTTTCTCGACTACGCCTAAGCAATTCAGCCCTCGGTCCTACCTTTAATCTCCTGGTTTATGTCGTTGTAATATTTGATTTCATCTTCTGGATTTGTGAATGTTTTCATATTAGGTGCTTAAATGAGGGCCTAGGAATCACTTTTCGAAAAAAAAGCCTCTGGTGAAGAAAGGATGGTTTCTAACCCATTTGTGGGAGATTTAATTTAATCGATGTAAGTCAATATCACGTTTGTTCAATAATTTGTCGCACAGCCTTCAGTGTAATTCTGTTTCTCCCTTCTGTTTCCCGTCCTGAGACGTGTACAATGACGGTTTAATATTTTCCACTGTATTGCAAACCTGATAATGAAGCGTGATTTTTCACCAGCTTTTTTATAGGATACCCTCATAACACGCTCCTGGCCGATTTCCACTGTCCTGAATGGACATGGCTCCTCGAATGATCGTCAACTGACAATATTTTTAGACCCCATTTAGTGTGCTGTTTTCATCAGCCCAGAAATAGTACTACTTCCACGTTAAGGTCCTTCAGTAACACATTAGCCTTCGGCAACTTGATGTAAACTCTTATTTCATCGTCAGCTTTTGATTATTTTTAAACTAACTGATCCAGGATATGCCTAGTAAAAATAGCTTTACACATAAAAACATTTATGTGGTTAATGGCCCATAGGATTCTTATGTAAAAAATGAGTTCGCCCTAAATTCCCTTTAGAAGCATCAATTTTCATGCAAATTCCTTCTAAGATGCTCAGTTTTGCTGTGGGAATCATTGTTGAGTGGTTTCTTGGCAAAATAACTGCGAAGAAAAAATACCTTTCGTGAGGTAGATTATTTTGGGAGGTTTCTCTTAGAGGATGGGAAATGGATAAAGATTCGAAGTCATGTGACTTGTGACGAAGGGATCGACGAGTAAGAAAACAGAATCTCTTGGTGCTTGTCACCAGATTATTAAGTTACCTTACAATTAACTAAAGTTACAGTTTATTTACAATTAGAGCACCAACATGGTCAGTTATGGGGGTTACCCTGTTTAATGCGAGAGTGTTTTCTAGACTTCCCCGGTAGCAGTGATTATGCTAACGGATTATGGTACGCACAGAAGGAAGAAATAACATCGGCCAAAGTGTCAACAATTTCGTCGCATAATTACTGTTTTGTCCAGTGTACTCGATCGTTCTCACTGAAGTAACTATGCCCAACTGCGTATTTTAATCAATCTTCCAATACTGTTAAAAGCTAGGACAACATATGACAAAGTGGAGCAGCCTGTTTTTGATTCAACTTAATGACCGAAATGAGAGTCAGGCAATCTTCAGTTTGTGAAAATTTGTATCTTCTCCCTTGTTGCAGGGCAGGTAGAAAACGACCAACATATGACTGAGTTGAACGCCAACAGACAGTCCCGTGAACTCCACATAAGACAAGCGAATGAAAGAGGTCTTGTTTAGATGTTCTAGCTCTGGTACATAAAATTATGGTCGACCCTGGAGTGGGATGGGGAACAATTATCAGCTCCACCCAGTATGTTCAAGTGAAGCTTTAGTTTCTTGAGCACCCAACTAGCGGTATTGAACGAAGCAGATAAACGACTGATGTGTGGTTTTCGAATACCAGCTTTTCATTCGCAGTGGCTTTATGAAAACGGACCTCCTTTTTAGGAGAAGCCAGGAGTCAACAATATGTGGTAATCTATTATTTTGGGGGTTATTGAGGACGGTCCCCTTGAAGAAAGAAAACAATAATGTCTACTGAATTATTCATGAAACGTGAAGCATTCCAAAGCCACTTGCTTGGAACCGTGGTGTCTTACGAACGGCTTCCTAGTTGTTACAGCTGTTTTACAGGATACGGATCATGTTTAAAGGCCGACAGTCATAACAGTTGCGTATCGCTTATGGTTAATTACACTACTTTAATGATTTCCTCGCTGCCAACAAGATTTGAAAAGCCTCCCTCCGGCGGTTTCTTTGAAAATAATATTAGGCTTTTATGCAAACCATTTCAAATACTCCTGAGCCACTTTATCATTTACATAGATACGACATTTACTGATGCTTTGCTGATAATAGTCCGGTTTTTGAAACTGTAAATTGTACGTGCATCTTAATATTGTTGTACCCCATCTAGCATACGGAAATATCTTAACAGTAAAGCCAAAGTTAAAGGACAGGAGAAAATAGCAAACAGTAATCTGAATTGGTGTAGACTGCAAAGACTGACACTAAATAATCACGTATCCCACTGGTATACTGATGCTGAATGCCTAATACGACGCGCGACAAAAGGTTGATTTGTACACAAGACAGGTTAATGACTGAAGCAGGTTAGGGAGAACCATTGGACCTTCGAAGTCTATATTCACATAACGTTAAATAGGTTCATTTCGAATATCAGTAGGCATCCGTTATCCATTCTCTCAAAACGCTAAGCGACCACTTTTCAGATACCAGTTCAAAATCTTTTCATTATTTACAGCCAACAAAATGAAACATCATAAAAGAGAAATTCAGCTGGGTTCCAGGTGAGTCTCCCGTCAAAGACAGGTTGACATGCAAATGAGTGTATTTTGTTAATTTCACGCAATTTGGGTATCAACTAGAAGAGAAGGTTGAGTAAACTCAAGGACTGCGACTAAGGGCAAAAACGGCCGTGGTCTGTTGAAGTGTTTCCCACAACCTTATGAATAGTGCACCACTCAAGTTACTTTAGTTCCCTATCCCCATTATAAAAAAATTAGTTCGCACTTAGAATATCAAATTGTGTTTCAGGGACGTCAGTTTTGCGCATGTTGGTAAGCTCCCGTTAGGGTTAGTTCGTGGAAAACGCCGGTCGACACTTTTATGGCTGAAGTTGATTGATCTGTGGAATGAGGGCCATTTTTGGAGATAGTTGAATTTTGGTCTACCAACCATGAGTGGCGATACACACAGTGACCGTCTGCTCTCTGTTTCAAAGCTCCTCACAAGCTCTCCACATCAGTAACTGAAGATGGCAGGCATCAGTTTTCGAACGATCCACTCCATGTATAGGAAGGCTAAAAAGCTGGAAAATGCCTAATTTTAGGAGTATTTTTTAACTTGCAGCTCAGTGGTACTTTGGTCATTACTTTATATGATAGGGCTGAGGGATTTGTATCCCGGAGACAGTCGCGGAGGAAATCGGGCCACTCAGTTCGAGTGGTGAACCAAATGAAGAAATAAGGTTATTGATGTGATAAATTCATGCTAAATTTCCTAACCTCAATGGTCATGCTTATAGGCTGTTTGGGGGAACTATTAATATACCCCCAATCGGAATTACACAGCAGCGCAGTTGTATGTGGGGCTATACACAGTCTATGTCGCTGTCGCAATTTTAGTGCTAGATTTATCTGCCATCAAGTTTTCCAACTCATCTGTAATCACCCTTGATAGATCTGGTAGAAGGCTTGGGAAACAGTACAGTACCGCACACTGTCAGTCCAACCTAGACCAACCCTCAGCGACCTCAAGTTCAAGCTATCGGTCGCCAAGCATCTAATTGAAGCAGCATACGGATTCGAATTTATCACATTGTTCCAGACCTCAATAGACACTAAACGTCCACACAGACTGGTGTCCATCGAGGTAATAGTGATTTATTGCTTTATGCCTGTGCTCTACGTCTAGAAGTCCTAAAATTTATTCTGGGACTACCTTAATTTCATCGATCACGTAACTTCGATTCAGGCTTATGAATGGTGTAATTTACCCCTCATACTGCTTCACATGTTTTGCGCTGGAGCGTACCAAATGACTTTGTCCTGCAACTCTGTTGTTCCTGCTTCCTTCAAAGTCGGAAAAATATCCTAAAAGTGTTTACCTGAATCGATATGTAATTGGCTGAACGGTATTGCCCATCACGATTCCGTAAATGGTTGACCTGTCCGCCTCCAGGCCAATCCAGTTGGAAGAACCAATTCGCTGTCCCACTGCATGAAGGGAAAGAAAAGCATTTTGCATTAAAAAATTCCAGGGTTAAATTATCCAGTATCACTCATCAGTTACAACCTTGCCTTCTACTCTTTTCCAACTACAGGGAAAAAGGCTATTCGTGCTAGAGTGATGAACAGCAGATAAGCTGGGATGAACCATTAAATGTGGAACACTTTTTTTGCTGACAGTGAAGATTATGGGCTATGATTGGCATATAGTGCAAAACCAGAGTGCCAGATAACACAACTTAGTATTGGAATCACCATATAGATCACCACCATTACGGACAAATCTAGCGGACGTAAGTTACCCTAAATGGACTTGTTATTCTGGTATACTGATTTTTCAAATTTCGGAAGTTTTTAACGAATACACATGTTCATGATGATGTCGAACTGGCTTCTTGTAGACCTCTGCTGAATCAAGGAGCTGTTTGGTCGGTTTAGCATATGTCTCATTAAAGTGCAGTTGATATGAGCTATTTAACGGTGAGAACTGTTAGCGATGGCACAAGGTTAGCGCCATATATATTCTTGTCACATCATAAAAGTCTTATAAGATGTCATTGAAAAACTGTTGAAGTAGTCTGACAGGAATTTTACAGGGGTTAAATAGAAATCTAGGAAGGACTCGACATTAAACTCCCATGTCTCGAGTGAAGCCTCCGCTGTCAGAAAATGTTTTACGATGCCTTAAGCTAACACTGAGTTCTCTTGGATATTTATCGCGACACTTTAGGATTCTAATTGTGACAAAGCTTACCAGGAAATGTGATCTTGATGAAGACACAGTTTGACGATGAAAAATAATTCAGTAAAATAAGGGTCTGTTTCACCATAGTCCAAAATCCGGCAAATGAAGAACCAGTGGAACTGAAATCTGGCATACATAGTTTAGAATACTATGGAATATGGTATGGTACTGTATAATATAATATACTATAGAATGCTACTGCTTAGAATACTAACTGAAATAGAATCACGATCGGGTTGTCGATGTCGAAAATATTGTAGGGGATCGTTTCTGGTGATTAACGATCTTTACAGAGCGCATATATTCATAAGACAGTTATTTCAAATGCTATCCTTTGAGAAGTACAATGTCACTAGTTCACGGTTTTTGGCAAATTTGAAAACAACCATATGATGTTTTTAGTACCTTTGGGTTGTTAACAAGACCCTGTTCCAAGTGTTCTCTCGGGGGTTACTTTCCGTGAGACATTAAATTATCATTTCCAAGTTGTTCAGTGTGTTTCATTCTACTCCGTTTTAATCTGAGCATCGTAAGGATCTTACATATCAACATTCACCTGCTTTAACCTGAGGAATGATCTAACGCATGAGCACCAAAATCATGTTCACACTTGAATGATCGATACGAATTATCCAAAGATTGTGAAGTTCCTAAAGCCCTCTGCCTTCTATGTGAGTCGACTGAGGATGGCATTTTTATCGCACTGTTTCTAAGTCTTAATGCGGAAAAAACATGTTATGGTAATTAAGGATTCTTTGAATGGTCCCACAACTGTAATGACATTAGAATTTCCTAGCATAAAACAGCAAACCCAAGACCTTATTAACGCCTACAATTATATGCAAGCCCGTTCAACTGTTCCAGCTTTTATGAAGGGGATAATGTTGTGCCGTACCAGCGATGTGCTATTTGCCTACATATCAAATTCTATTTCTGTTTGTATTGTTTTTGTCAAAATGAGAGCGGGCCGCGAATTCACTTCAGGTGGATAGAAAGCAATAAATAAACCAGACTTACTTCCATCGTACAAATAGACTTCTTTATCGAATGAGGCTCTTAGCATCTCCGCCTGTGGAATGGTATAACGAAATCCCTCACCTGGAGACGGAAAAGGTTGTTATGTGAAACAGCTGGGCCCAGTACCAAACAATGACTATATGGCCCTCGGGAACATCCGGGATTGTAATTTAAAAAAACATGTTGCGTCGCTTGTCTGCTCTCAGTTTGAGTGAGAAACCAAACTTAACGAAAATCCATTGCATTATCAACAAAACAGTCTGACATCTTTGGGCTCGTTACCATGTTAAATTTGTGTACACCATTTGCGTGAAAAGGAATCAGTGAGGTGAAATAGCTTGGGGAATAAAGGTCAACAAAACAAGTGCAGGAACATTGTCTCGCTAGTGATGAAAAATTCGTATGTTGCGTGTTCCCATCACCTTGCCAAGCACAAAAAATCGTGCTTATAAGTACAATCTAACCGAAGTAATCACAGTTCTACATTTGACATTTATTGTTGCGCTGTATGACCGAAAGCTTCCCTAAATTCATGTTTCCTTTTTCGTAACTTCATTTTTAGTACAATTTGGTCGCAATTTTTTGTATGAACCACATTGCGTACATTACCCGACAGCTACAAAACTGATGGCAATTGAGAAAGTACAAAGCCCCAAGTTGAACGAGATAACATTGAATTTGATCGAGAGGCTTAATTTCGGTAGACCTTTATTCTTGATGTGAATACACACATGTTCGTTTATGATATATGAGCCAAATGTGGATATGCTGGGGGTTTCTTTTACCCCAGATATGGACGGAACATTTTTTCATTTGTCTTGTGTGTTCTCCATGAACTAGGAAAACCAACTCCCAGAACGTCAGTGTGACTTCTACAACCAGGATCGTGGAAAACAGGACGGTGCTTTGGAAACGCTGCCCACCCTAACTCGCATCTTCTAAACCAATGGTCGCTGTCGGATTATTCATTCAGATGGATCAAGCCGGACTGCTCTTAATTTTAATTGTTATACTGCTAAGAAGGGGTTACTAATGCCGACTGCTGGTAGGCAAGTTTCGTTCTTCTTCAGTTCGGGTGAGTCATGACATAGTCGACCTGTTAGCCAGCAAACAAACATAGGCAAGTTTTGTTCTTCTTCAGTTTGTGTGAATCACGAGATAGTCGACCTGTTAGCCAGCAAACAAACATACCTGTATAGATGGTGAAGCGCGGTTCACTTAGTGTGGAGGTGTTTGCTACCGAGCTAAATTCCATATGACCTGATTCAGCAGAAGAATCACGATCTGACTCCGGCGGACTCCGTGCGCATGCTCCCATCCTGTCGACTAGGGCTGCCTCCACAGTACCCAGGCCCATAGTGGTCAAATGCAGCCGAAACGATGTTGACGGAGCTGACCACGGCGAGTGAAACGCCTGCCGATCTGTTGTGTAGCCAGTAACAAGACCCACGTTCTTTTCCACGGAGACGACAGACGGTGCAAATAGGAGCAGGTTTTGCAGCTTATTGATTTTTTCCCAAGGACATTTTGTGAGCGTGTTCAGGCCGGGCGACAATGATGAGTCTGATATCTTATTGGTGGTTTCCATAAGGAGTGACAGTTGAGCCCAGACGACGAAAATGGTTTTTCCAGCTGAATAAGGAAAGAAACTTTAAGTTGCATCCGCTTCATTCTTCTATGTAACAAAACAATTTATTAGACAATCGAAATGAACACGTGTTTCGTTCAACTTTTTTCTCACCTATTTTCTTATCTAAGCACACTAATTCTGGGATATGTTTGAGTCACAGGATGTGACGTCCATACGGGAGAAGCAGTAAACAGCTGATAGAGTATTCCATGTGGACAAATGGGCCCATTTGATCCTTACTACTCGGTTTCCTTGCGCGAACAACGTTGCTTTACACGTACACTGTTCACCTGACCGGTATTGCGTTGCGAACAGGTGGAAAAGATTCATTTGGATGTCTTAAACAGCAACGGTTACTCCAAAGCTGCTTCGAAATATTGTTTTTTCTGATTGTTTATTTGGCTTTTGGGTAGTTCATTAGATCGACATCATCCAGCCGGCCTGGTAGGTCACTGATTTTCCGCACTCTGAAACACTGACCGACTATTTGTTATTGACATATCGCGATAACTATTGACTGGTTCAAAGTGCCCTGGACACCCATATATTCAAGTGGACTCGGTTGTCCTACGCCCCTCCCGATTGTGCCCCTTTTTTAATCGTATATCAGGTTGGTGATGCCGTCTTTCGTGGTTGTTTCATTGAATCAAAGCCTTATTTGTTCATGTTCTCAAGTCAACGAAGAAAATAGTCACACACGGACCAAAAATTACGTATTGACTGACCCATGGAAAGCACTTTTAAATTTCTACACATTTCCCGTTAACCAACTAGCTGGTTCTGTCGGCACCTGTTTACACAGCTGGTGGCTGATTTTCACTGCACACTGGCCAATATTTGGAACCTGCACGACAGAACCTGTTTGGATTTCATTCACCAGATCATTATCACCCTTAATTTTGTTTTCGCTCTATCGTTTCCGCCTCTATCCAACGTTTGTTTGCCCACTCCAAACGCACCTTTCAGCTGGCTTTGGCATGGGCCGTCAGATTTGATAAAACTAGGGTTTTAGTAAAATGGATGAAGTATAACATTGGATTTGAATCTCTAAAATACCTTTCAGGAGAATGGACGAAGAATGGTGCTGATCGTTTAAAGTCGGTCAGAAATAGCCTCGCAAAATATTTGAAATAAGGAATGCTAAATTCCCGATAATTCGACTCATACTAAAACAAAACCGAGAATTCACGTTAAGCGGTATTCATTAAATGAAACAGCGTATGTGTTTGTCCAGAGCGTTGGACTACTGCTCTGTGACGCCCAAGATGATTCTAACAATTAGTTAGGATTTTTTGTAATGTACTACTCATAAGGTTGCCGAAAATCCGTCGACAGCTCACGACCGGTTTCGCCTTTTTGGGGCTCATGAGGTAGGCGCAGTCCCCGGGTTTACGTCAACCTTATGTTCTACTTGCACGGAATCAGCGACTATACACTCAGTTGCCTGAGAACGTCACAAACGGAGATTCTGCTGGGTTCCAGATGAGTCTCTCGAAAAACCAAATTAGTTTGCAAATGAGTGTATATTCGCTAATTTCGTGCAATTTGGTTTCAAGTAGAACATAAGGTTGAGGGAAACTCGGAGACTGCGCCTATCTGATTAGCGGGATATCTCGAATATCGTAACCACTGAAACATGAGGCGGCCTGGTGCAGCACATTCAGTTGCCTGAGAACATCACAAGCGATCGATTCAGCTGGGTTCCAGGTGAGTAGTTCGAAAAACCAAATTAGTTTGCAGATGAGTGTATATTCGCTAGTTAGGATTTTGTTTCACTTACTGATCGACCTTCGGTTTACCGTCAGATTTTGTTCGCATGATGTCCCATCAAACCGCGATGAAATATGTGCAAATCAATTGTCTAAACCAGCCAACCGACCGACAGTAATTCGAGTGAACTTACAGTCATTTCACCATTTAACCGAAGAGTGTTCACCTCAGTCATGGCATTAAAATTACTTGCCCGGATTGGACCAAATGAAACAAATTCCTTTACATAAGCATTCACAACTGAACGAATATTGTACATTGCGTGCTCCGTGAACGAGGACTGCCTGATGTTAAGCTATATAAACTGTTTTCATCAACAATTTCAAGTGTGTGGTAGTTTATCAATTGGAAATTGTTCGGGACCGATTGGGGGGAAGTCATCATTTCAGAGGGGTTTGGTGAACGATTGTTGGATTTATTGCTGGGCAACGTTTCGCTTTTGACGCAAAAGTTTCGTCAGGCCAAGTGAGTAAGTAAGTGGGTCGATTGGGTTTTAAGGCAGTCAGGGAACCCATCCGTGAGATTCCTTATGACTGGTGACTTGATCAGTGCTGGGTGTTCAGTCTGATCTTCCTGTTTGTTGATTAGTGGGGATGACTAAGATTTACGATAGACTGGTTAGGGGGGATTCGTCTTTATGATGAACCCGGATTTTTCGTTCTTGTTTTTTCAGCCTAGGACACCATAATGGAAACTTCCTCTTGGGGTCTTCACAGATTTCGTTCATCTGTGTTCGTCCAAGTGTGCTGGGACAATTGGTTTTGGGATGGGTGTGTGTGTGTGTGTGGGGGGGGGGTAATTGGATCTAACTGTACTTGGATTTTGTACTTTTAGACCCGGGCCATTTCCCTGATAACTGCACACCGCCTCGTGTCATCTTGGCTGATCTAAGACCGCTCTCCACACGTTTGCAAGTTCTACCCCCTCTATTGTATTCACACTCGGATACTTGGTGATTTCCACATCCTCGTCCACCAGTCCCTGTGGTGTGAATCTTAACCCCCGTCTCAGGATATCCACATTTTCAAAGTCTATCCGATGCTCAGTGTCTAGAGCATGCCCTGTCATTGCCGAATCTTTGACTAACGCCTGCGTTTCTCGGTGCTCTGTTATGCGCTCATGCTCACCGATTCTGGTTTGCAATTCCCTGACTGTCTGACCTCAGTAAACCTTCGTACAGTCGTTAAAGTTTGTTTTGTATACACAGTTCCTAGTCCTATCAACCGGAAGGCGATCCCTTAAATGCACCTCACGGATTGGTTCCCTGACTGCCTTAAAGCTCAATCAACCTACTTACTCACTTGGCCTGACGAAGCTTTTGTGTCAAAAGCGAAACGTTGCCCAGCAATAAATGCTCCGATTGTTCATCACACCCCTCTGGAAAGAATGTGGCAGCTTACATTGCGCAACATGGTTAACACGAAAGATCGTGGTTTTTTTAAAGTTAGATAGATGATCATGACAGGTGAATCGTCCATTTTTCACTGAATTACTCTAACTCACGTACGGTTCGCCTTTCTTATATTTAAGCAGCATGAAAAGGGACGGGGCATCTGTGACCAGCATCAATTTTACTTCGTAAAATAGCATTATTGTACACAGCAAAGACTGACTTAGGGACTTGGACTTTGAAGGAGAAAATTTTCTGATCCATTCTTTATTGAGGTATAAATCCTCCCAGGCGTAGTAATACCCAAAGTAATAGAGCGCAAAAAAAACTTACTTTTGCAGAGCAACACCAAGCGTAAACAGAGACAATCATCAGGCTACTGATCGCGATTTATCTGTGGTTTTGACCTAAATGTACTTGCTTGCTAAGCCGAAAAGGTCTGCATTTCCCTGTCCAAAACAAGCCAAAGCACGACAAATGATACAGTCTATGGTTGGAGGTATTGCGTTATTTTTTCAGTCTTTGGAAAAGGCCTGGTTTGTGCACCTCAGAAAAGCAAGACAGCCATTTTATTGGTTGAAGGATTCTTGTGAAACAAATTGATCCGCAGAACACTCTGCTAGGACCAACTGGATGGACTCCATCTACAGTACTACAGCACTGTACTACGAATAGATTTGGAACGAGGCGGATGACGTGTCCATCCTCAGCTTAAGACAAAATCATCGTCTTCTAGTCAAGAGAGTGAGCTATAGAGAAGTAGGTAGAATTGTGGACTCGTTAAGGTGAATTGCAGAAACAACTTGTCAAAAGTGCGTTTGGATATCATGTGTTTATAACCGACCGACCGAATGGCCGAATGTCATCTTTCTGGACACCTAAGAAGTAGGCATTTTTGCTGGATTTAGCAATAATTAGACAGAGATACCTGCTGGGCGTTAATTTCCTCCAATTTTAGTTGTATGCAATGGAGTTTCTGGTTTTGGTATGTCCATTTTGTGTTTATTTTACATAAACTTGAAAGATCATATCCCATTCTCAAGTAGATTGTTTCCCAGTTTAGCTGGGTGTGGTCCCAGAGGAAGCATTATGGCTACCTCATTAGTCTGGCGATAACGATTGCCATTGGATGAGTTGTGCGATGTGAAGTTAGCTCCTCACTTTAGCCCATAGGAAACTTCTTCGAATCCCAAAAATTGAAAATTGGCAAAAATGAAATTCAGTATTCTGACGTAGGGACAGATGAACAATGAGGATACACTTGAAGAAAATATAAATGCGTTCAAAATTTATTGGTTTCGAATAGGATTATGCCCAACAATCGATTTATGAGTATTTTGGATAATCGTACACAGCTACTGAACACTTTTGAGATATGGGTAATCGTACATATAAAGAATCGAAACACCGGTCTCATAAATTTAAGCCAAACCCCATAGATAATGATTCTGATGACTCTTGACAAAGCACTCAGAGTTAGAATGCATATATTGTTGTATTTTGACTCAGTGATGCCTAATAAACTAAAGCCAAGCTTTTGAACTTTAAAATGCCGTCTGTTGTGTTTGTTATTCAATTATAGGAAGCGAGAAAAATAGCCCAAACCCACACATGAGTCTTGGGCATACAGAATACTACCTACAACCTGATCAGAGTTCATGGCTTTCAAAGCGTCATTGCTGACAGAAACTCTGTGAACTTTACACCGTGTCACTTTACACGCCTATCCCTTGTCCCGAGGACTTATATTTGACTACTAGCAAAAGAAATCTAAACTGCATGGATTTCCTTTTCTCAAATGCAGCACCGAAGATTTACGTAAATTACCTTGTGGTTTTGGTAATGGTGTATTCTCAATACCAAATTATGTGCATGGCAGATAGGTTTGAATTCACAAACACCACTTATTTGAATTGAAGTACCTCACAATGATGATCTCCTGTTTTTTCATGCAATAGCGTAACATCTAGTGCTATCCCACTGCCTTTTGCTTACGACGTAAAAATGAGCACACTGGATTGTGTCAGAGAAAATTTTGAAGTCATAGAATTTAGGCGAGGAAGTACACATGTGAGTGATAAGTCATCAGATACACATTACTCACCATGTTTTGCCATCTCCCATATTCCTACATCGGGATTGCATGGTGCAGGACAATTCGGTCGTAAGAATCGATCAATGGCAGTGGATAGATGCCATCGATAGTCGAGTGAATTGATAGGTTCTATGACCCAGTTGCGATTAGATGACTTGGGAATGATCTGCAAGCGTACGCGATGATTGGCCGGTGAGTTCGGGTGTTGCGGTTGAAGAGCTGCGTCAAACCAGTCTTGAACCTCAACGGTGAAGCCGATAGCAATAGGAGTTTTCTGATCTACTGTGTAAATCTGAATGCTGTAATGGTGGAGGAATGTATACACGAACAGTGAGAAACGATCCTCCTAAAGGCGAACATATGTTGAACCCAGGAGCAAATCTGTGGGCTAACATCTGCACCGAAAGAGCAGTCATCCTCTTCCGAAAGGATGATTTCTTGGAAAGATGTATTATTGTTTATGAAACTGTTTTTAACCTTTGCAGCAACCGCTAGAGATATGTGGTATCCTCTCACTAAATTCATGCTCTCAATAGGTGTCACGCTAAAGTTCATAGGATAGATTTAACAAAGTATTATACGTTTACTTATTATAGCTTTTAAAAGAGAAACCAAGTGAATATCGTCATTGCACGAAAGGCGTCACGCTCACCTACCGTTACTTGACATTAGTCCGAGTTCTGGAAAAATCAGTAGTGTCTTTTTCTCGCTGATCAAAAAGGCATAGTGACAGGAACTTCAAACAGTATCTTGATTTATAGTTGATTTTTTGCATGTTATGATTGTCAAAACCAGAGGCCCGATAGGTAGCGTTGGTATTATACAGTAAATTGAACACTGCATGAACTACTTTAGGATTTTAGGCTGAAGGTTACATTACCTTGTCCTTTGTTCTGCATATATGAACTGATACAAGAATGTCCAAACCCAAACACATTCTACTGATTATATCTACAGAAACGCTGTTGTATTGCCCAGATGCTAAGGACTGTGCTGAACAATTCAATATGGAAGCGCATTCGAGAAAACCCGTATAGTACCCATTTTTGTTAGTTCGACTGCACAAAGGAACCTGGGGATTAGACCTCAGGTTAATCAGTGGTTTCATGTCATTTTAGATAAATCAACACCCTCGCGCACCTGTTCTGCGTGTTAGCGCCTGCAATATAAAGGTAAACTGTGCGTGAAACGGTGCCAGAGAAGAGTCAGTTGCTTACTGACAAGAATGGTGGACAAAAGACTGTCCAACTAGTACAGACGGCTCAGCTTCGGAAAGTTGTGAGACCGCACCACGGAAGAATGGCACCAACGAGTTACAGAATTTGTGGTTGTTGCAACCGCTTGCCTCTAAAATCGTCACTTTAAGAGCATGGACTCATATTGGCCTATTTGACCAGGTAAAGTCTATAATGTTTAGTGGACAAAGAAGGCCTGCTTAACTAAGTTCTTATTTTGCAAGTATTTCGTTCCAAAATATATTTATTGGGCCTTGTGCGGTTACGTCTAATTTATTAGTTTGATCCAGGGTGACACCAATTTCGCTTGGTTATCCAGACTGTTCTAATAAAATTAGTAAAAATATCGACAGTTTCAAAGTTGAAGGGAAGAAATAGTTCCATTACTCTTATGTAAAGTCAAATAATACCGACATGAAAAAAGATGATGGCTTGCAAGGAAACGAAACACAATTTCCACTGAGCACTATAAACCGAAAAATAAACAGAATTCTTAAATACGATAACCACACCCAATTAACTGACAAAGCAACGCTTATTTAATTGGCACAACACAAACAGGACAATGAAGAGACTGAAATGAATCGGCCAAAATGTCACCCGCAGCCGAATTGACATTTTTGATGTGTTCGGTGGACCACACAGATTTTCTAGCGGATGTAAGCTTCCTGTTTCTTCCACTCAACGAAATTTGTTTAAAGGTATGTCTGTCGCAGTTTTCTCGTAGCGAAACAAGAAAAACACAACGGACCAGATAGAGACAAAGATAAACAATTGTTGTCGACTTACGCAAATAAATAGGGTTCTTTTCGAGTGTGATATCGTAATGGCAGGCCAAACAGATGTGTGTTATCCGACGTCAAACCAAGCCATGCCGAATCATCCAGTTTCAAACCGTCTGTCAAAGTTTATTTGCCCACGGGGTTTGCAGCAGTGGATCATTAATAGGAATGGGGAAGAAGTGTTTGGCGATGAGTCGGTCATAAACCCAGCGAAAATCGTGAGCAACATAAGCTCGCCCATAAATTCTCTTGCTCAGCAGTTGATGTGGACATGTGAGAGACATCGGGTGGGAACTACAGATACGTACGTGCGCACGCAGGTTTGAATTCATGCACACAAACACGGAATATTGGTAGCGTTGACGAAGCCATCAACTGCTCGATAAGACAAACCACACTCAATGCCACTGCCTTGCATTTAGTGAGAGCAAAGTCTGATGATTAATAAGGAGGGTGTTCATTAGACCCAGTATTTGGACGTGATGGAAAATGCATCGAGTGTATATTCACTTCAATAAGTTTGCTGTTTCAGCTCAGCAAATAGAATGAGGCTCTCTTTCAAGGTCCAACTGGAACAAATGCAGTCATGTCGGAGGGTAACGAATTAATAAATCCTTGCCATTATTATGTATGGAGGAGCCATCCTCAAGAACGCGTCTTAGAATACACAGGACGCGGCCTTCAACAGGTTGTATTCCGCAGGATTCTACATGTTGCTCTATCTCGTATTAGCCTTCTTTGTATTTTCACCAGTTCAGTCACCTACCTTTTGGCAAAAAACTAAGTGTGATTTTACCCCACCAATTTAACAGAAAATCACGATCACCCACCAACAGACATCCGATGGAATTTAGCCTCTCTTAATATCCAGTTGTTTGAGACCAGTGAGAGTCATGATTGAGGTTCTGAATGAGAATCCTCAAGTACATAGCCCCTGCGTCAACATAAAAAGTGGTACTTTTAGGAACTCACTTTTGACCGCTCGCCTATTTGTGTGATCAAGTCACGTGTTCTCAACTAACAGACTTGTAGTTTTCAGTAGTATATTTTTACTCATTGTCCAAAACGCAATGCCTTAACTCGTGATATTTTAACAGAGCATAGAAGTAAAACAGTGGCGTGAATCGGTCGACATAGATTTTGGGGCAAAGTGTACTCCTATTTTGATCCTAAATTAGGTATACATATGTATATATGTATTTTCCAATGTATTTTTAACATGCAGGAGTACAAATTTCCGGTGCAATAACGCAATTGCGACGGAGTGTTAAAGGTAGGAGATAAGAAACCCTGGCTTACGCACTGTAGATTTGACTTTGCTGTAGTTTACAGTGAATCAGTGGTTCCTGGAATTAGTGAATAGACAAGGGAAAGCTGATCCTCATGTTTGATGCTCACGGGTTAGCTGAACGGTTGCTGAATCTGGAAAAAACTTCTCATCCAACTGGGGCAAGTGAACATTAGTCTTGCGACCACTACTGTAACATTGTAAGTACACTGTCTCCTTCTTAGTGACCATCAAAAATACATTCAAATGATTAGAAGTAAAAGTGCATTTTGCAAGTGAGGTAACAGCACTCGTCGAGTAGAAATAGTGTTGATGAAGACAGATCACGTACCACAAATTCTCTTATTTTTATGTGCTTTACTTACACCCGACTGACGAACTTGAGTTCATCTCGTTTTTAGTCCCACACTGTTAGTCGAAATGTGTGTCGATAAAGAACGCCGTCTGAAACAAACTCGGCATAAAGTATTACCCATTGGCTAAATTCTTGCTTACTTTATGTTCCCTCCTATCCACATCCACTGGACTCAAGGATGATCGTCCCGGAAAGCGGTGGCAAAACCTCCGCTCTACCGTCACACTTCCGTTGTTGTAGGAAAATAAATCACTGTTAACTTTTGTCATACCGCTGTCATCAGCTCACCAAGCATAGGGAAGCCTGGCGACTGTGTTCGGGTTTCTAATCACAATGGGTGATTAAATCAATTAACTTAGCTTCCTTCCCAATTTGGTGAATCTCAGAATTATGTTGAAAAATGCCTGGTCACCATAGTCAGTTCCTTAGTTAGCGACTGTGTACCATATATATCAACATAAACCGCCTCGCAGATGAGCGGTTTTTTATTGAAGGAACAAAGCTATTATAGTCTGTTCCTCGGGACCAATAAAGCTGAAGCCACGGTGTGTACGAACGGAAATTCTAACCAAAAATTCCTCAGCCTTCGGTTCACCTACTACAGAAGACTCGAATCAACTGATTTGATTGTGCGGACCCGGTAACAATGAAAGAAAAACCAGTGAAGATAACATTTCAGTTAACGAAGGTTCGAAATATAGATCACTACTTAAAATTTCGGAAGCTTGAAAATTACCACAGAGGTTGAGGGAAGCACCTGTTGCACTCATAGCAATCACGAAGAACGTGAATGAAAAACTCACGGATATCGATTAGTTCCATAAATTGTATCCTCTTCAGTGGGGCTGCTTTGGCCGCATTAATCAACTTCTTGAATGACACCCCTGATATTGGAGACAAAGAGGATTGGACTTATGCGGCGAAAACAGTGAGAGAAAAATTGCCCGTCTTATTGATTCACATTTTACGGTTTATTCCTCATTACGCGACCGTAGTCATGCACAAGTAAGTCATTGCGTATGATCAACCAACAGTCATCAACCACTCTAGGAAATCGTAGTGAATCATTTGAAGTGATTTTACATCACACTGGCTGTTACGCAGCACTGTGTTCCAATTGATGTAGTGGAAAATACCACGCTTATGCTCCGCAGTACAATTCGATTAAGATGTCCAAGACCATAACGAATCTTGACAGAGGTTTATTTTTCTACAGTGCATTGACGTATTTCTTAAGACACCTCCTCGTCCATAGAATTCTTTGTCAGCTACTTTTTATCAGTTTATTTTTGGCAAACTTGCTTAGGGGAGGGAAAGCTTTATTCATTTCCTCTCATGGCTAGTTTTCATTTGAATGCTACACTAATAATAAATTCAACAGAGTAGGATGCATTGAATTCCATCTCTTGAATGCGTTTCGACAAAATGGCTACACTGTGTACCCCCAGAAGCATCCGATGTTTGACACAAAGCTGTACACCGGAAATTATTGTACTTTTCTTAAGGATCCTGAGTTCTAGTCTAGTCTAAACTCACTGAAAGTGAGCACAGGGAACTGATTCTGTGCTGCATTATGGTGGTCATTTGTGTGAAAAACGTACTGTGCTACGTGACTTGGTTTCTCTTTGTTTGTGGTCTGGGTGTTTAATTTGGCAAAAAATCCTCGAGTGACGTCTTCAAGGGTCACACAAATGACCTTCTAACTCATTCCTCTCCAACAACCCATTGATAAATTAGACTGAAAAGTGGACCTCTATGCAAATATAGGTCAGGTCGCATCTGACCAAGTCAAACGCTGTCCTCACCAACTGCAAAATTGAACATATTTTCGGACATAATATGACTAGCACTCGTCTACCGTTTTGGTAAATCTAATACTCTGGATGCACAGGGATTTCGTCAAGATCAGCTGGATGATGGTATAGATCACAAATAAATAAATAAACTAAGTTTGGTGAGCAAAACATCAAAGCTTCCGACCATGCATTGCATTGCAATTGCGGAACACGCACTGGACACGGGACGGACAATAGATTTGACTCGAGGACTACGGTCCACGTCACAGAGACTGATAGCCAAGGCGGTAGAAATCCTCAATCATCCCAGCGCGAACGGATTGGAAGGCGTG